AAAACAGCAAACAAATTGTATAAATGATAAATAATAAAGTTTTGAATTGAACTGTAAATCTAAATAAACCCCTATACTCCCAAGTAGAAGTTAATGATAAATTTTATGATTCATAAGAGCAAACAAGTTGTTCATGTAAAATAACAAGAACACTCAATAATTAGTTTAGTGTTCTTTGCTATAAAGTCCTTTCACAATGAAATGCAACTTGGATTGTACTGAGCTGCAGATAATTTGTGAAATAAAGCCCAAGTACTCTATGTAAAATATATTTTGGGATATAAAAGGAATTCTCTCTGAACTTGAGAATGGAGCTGCCTACTAGCTTTACTTTTCTTGTAGTTGATTAAAAAATGGGGTGTGCTTATTTTCTTCCTCACTGTACAAAATGTAAGACGTCAGCTAAAACATGAAGCCATTACTGATTTACCAAAGTGTCAGGCTATTAAATGGGCATCAAGTTCCAAAAGCACGACAAGTCCTATAAAGCATCAAATGAAAATTAACTTCTTTATATAGAACTGATCAAGTTTGGAGCCTTGATGAAAAAATATAAACAGCAACTTTGTACATATATGACTACTCTATGAGGACTCATTTTAACTTTTAAAAACTACGTCTTTATGTTATACTGATCTTAAAAACTAAGAGATTTGAGCAAAGGTTTGAGTTACCAAATGATGCACACGATGTCTTGTAGATTTTGTTGCACGTCAACCTTGGATGCAAAAATTCAAGATTTTTACATCCATCCATGTGTAGCTGACACTTTTTTGTATCATCACACAAAAACAAACCTCCACCTCAAAATGAAAATTCGCAGGAGGTACATACTCTTACCAGCCTGCAAAATGTTGCACTGAATTTTCTGGCGCTATGCAGAAAGATGAAGCTGTATTGCATCTACTAATTAAATAGTTTACACCAATATTATTATGAAGAAATACAATCATATCTTATTGTATGCTTCTTCCTAAAAAAGCTATAAAAAAAAAACAACAACCAGATTTAAACTTTTCAAATAAGTGCCGTTTTTAAACCGTTGCAAACCTGTTACAAGGAGAGAGCAGAGTTATAAGAAATTATTTAGTGAAAAATTAATTAGCGATTTGCAATAAGCCCAGTTAGCTCAATTTCAAACCAACAGAATTTGTAAGCAAAACTTACCCCTTTATAATTAAACAATTATCGTGTAATTAACAAGGAATTAACCCGTTGTGATGTGACTGAGATGCAATAATATCCAAAGCAAGTAAAACTGTTATGCACGTATGGTCTAACATGTAAAGCAAGCTGATTATTTATATTTTATTACATAATGAACATTTGATCTTAAACGAATCAGACAATAACCTAAATCCTTGTGATTGCAGATGTTTATCCAACTCTTTGGGACGTTGGAAATAATTGTATAATAGATAATAACTGTCTTTTGCCACAACAGCAAATGCCCCTAAATAAAAATGATAAAATAAAAAACGATGTTTCAAACATGTAAGCATGCTTCAAATCATTCACAATAGTGACATATCCATTTACAAACCAAGATAAAAAATTGATCAGTAATATTCAAATATTAGTATTATACACTCTCCAGCCATTACCACAGCATCAAATGTGCTATTCAACTAAATTAGGGTGCGTTTACATGCATTTTATGGATAAGCATTAATCACCAGCATCCCTTGCATGCACTAACATTTTACAGCCAGAACTAAAAAAGCAAAAATCTCTCAGCCAATAACAGCCAGTGCAGAACACAGCAGTTGCAGCCAACCAAAGATGAAGAAACTCTACTCTAAAACCTTAACCCAGTCATTAAACCAGCTGAACCTAAATTAGTATAAATCATCTGAAAATGGTGAGTAGAAGTCACCAGAGAATAATTTTATGTAATTGTCTTTCTTTAGGTTTAATTAGATAAAATAAAAAGGGAATTTTGGATTTTATCTGTCTTTTCAGAACAGGAAGTTTCTTTTAGGTTAATAAATCCTAAGAAGTAAAATATTTTAATTCCCGATGTCAAAAAATATATAAAGCCTCTGAAAAGACACTTTACTCACATGTCAAATCCCCTTAGTAAAACAGCATTTTTGCACTAGTGGGTCTACTGAATAATGTGGAAAACTAATAAAAGTTATACAAGTTGTGCATGCATCTGTGAAATTACCTGTCAAAGATGGCGCCGACCCCTGCACTGTGGGCGCTGTTTCTGTGGACATGGAGACCCGTGGCCAGTAAAATCCCGTCCTTCACCGAGATGGAGCGATGGGAGAATGATGCAATCAGCAGCTCGTTCCAGCCTGTAAGAACGTTGGTGTTTCTGAATTAAAACCAAATTTAAACACCCAAAAATTTAAAACCGAGTTGTTTCTTGTTTAACAATGTTGCAATGCAACATTAAGATTAAATTCTCACTCCAATACATTTTTGTAAGTTTATTCTCACTAAGATCGCTGACTTTAAAAACTGAGGTATACATTGAACTACGCTGCAGCCTTAAATGAACACAAATATTTTGAAATATTTAGAGTTAAAACAATGACCACAGCCTACATTCATTTAAAAATAAAAGTATGTGTACATATTTCATCATTTCAAAATAGTGGGAGGTGATGGAGTGTCTAATGCTTTGTGCAATTTACTTTGCATTCAATGGAAACCAAATGAAACCCAACAATGAAATCAAAGTGGCAGAGTGAAGTTCCTCTTATTTTTCTGTTGTTCAATAATTTATTATCGGAGAACTTTAAACACAAGTCCAGATTCAGAAGAATTTATAAGCAGCATAAACATTAACCAATTTGTTCCATGTTGAAAAACTCCATGAGTAAAAAAAACAAAGAGCACAATCAAATTATCCGCTCATGACAATGGTTGCAACTAAAGAACAGGCAACCTAAAACAGATCAAACTGCTTTAGTGTCAGATAGACAGACCTGCACGCAGCAAGATGACTTGATCATCCAGGGGCAGCTCAGAAAAGTGGGGGATCCTCTTGGCCCACTCCACCAGGGTGAAGAGCTGCTTGTCTGCTGCCTGACAGATGTTGGTGACTGGATCATTGGGCTGAAATAAACAGAAATAGATTATTATTAAAATCACATTATTATTCATGGAAACAGCTTGTCAGAACATTAAATCTATAGCTGAGTAACAGAAATCTGACGTGTTGGAACAGGGTAAACATTAATATAAACCTGCAATTGTCCCATTTGTTTAAACAAAATGCTACCTTCATATTGCAGTAATTTAATTTAGATGAACACCGTTCATGAATAACAGTAGAAATAAATTTATATCACCCAGTGAACTCACAGAGCTTCCACCTGAGCTTCCATCTGAATGAAGCTCCGTCTTTTGCTCCACAGCCATCTCAGCTTCCAAAATCTTCTCTACTGGCATCTCCTCGTTCACCACACTGGAGGACTCGACCTCGCCTTCTCGCTCCTTGTTCCTCTGTCGCTCCTCTTGGACAGCTGCGGAACGAGGACAAAGAGAGGGAAGGGAGGAAAACAGGATAAACAATAAAGGACAAGAAATAAATGGATAAAGAGTAAAAGAAGAAGAACAAAAAAAGCAATAAAGACAGTTAAGTAATTTGATGCAAATGTAAAAGAAATAAAAGCAATAATGAAGATAGATGAATGAAATGGTTGTGCCAAAAAATAAAGTTTAAAATAACCAAGAGTGTGGGAACAATAGAGAAAGGGAAAACAAAGCAAATAATTAATGTTAAAAAAAGAGAAGCGCAGGAAAACATGATAAATTAATGTGAAGATAAATATAAAAAATAAACAAACACAAACACATTTCGGCTCAGTTTGACATAAAAAAATTAAAAACAAACTTTGCACTTTGCTCTTCAGACATTCACATACTGAGGGTGGGGCGTTTTATTTAATATGGCACAATTTATCTGGGTGAGAAACAGATGATGTCATCACATTAACAAATCAGTAACTTATCATTCAAGGAACTTTTCTGCACAAACCAAGGCAATGCAAGTTAAGAACATGCTTTGGTTTATGTCACATCTCATACATTTGACCCTTTCACCATTTGACAAACATGATTGTTGAGATATGTCACGGAAAATGTTACTATAAAGTTCAACCTCATCAAATCTACAGACAAAGTGAACATTAGATTAGGTTTGTTAATATGGATATTATTCAAACAGCAACAAACACAGCTTGAGCAGCAGCAGAAAAACATGTAATGCCATCAAATAATATAAATTTCAAATACTCGTTTTTTTTAAGATTGAGTCAATATCAATTGTTTAAGAAAAAAATATTCTGAGAAGTAAATCTTTGCTGCTGCAGCTCAAGCTATAAATTCTGAACAAGCCAGGAAGTGTTTTTAAATCCTTTTGTTTTGAACTACTTTGAGGTATGCATGACTTACACTGAAACATCAAACATACATTACTGCTTTGCTATTGTGGCGTGATTAATGGACAGAGGTGTCTTTGGAGGGCGTTCAGTCATTTTGCTGCTTTTACGCCACTGATCCACCAAATAACGTAGTAACAGAGCACAGCAGTTAATATATAAAGGGTAAGCCAGCATCGTGGTTCAGAGGTGTGATAGACGAGTCAACTAACCACTTGCAGAATGGAGAATTGGAGATGCCTGACATATTTTATGCATCGTGATCCACATCAACCCAGCCGAGTTAAAACACCACACCATTAGTTCTGCAATGCTGGCTTCATTTATTATGAAAGCTCGTTTCATCACAGGACGTGGTTGACTCGATTAGAGGAAGCCTAAAGAAGGGCTCGTCTTTGCAGCTATATTGTAAAACTGTTTAACAAAAGGGGCTTCGAGTATGAATGTTGGATTTGTCCCCATTTATCAAAAACATTAAAAAATGTAAACTTTTCAACCCTTCACAAATCACTGTATACTTTACACAGAAAGAGACATACTGTGCATGTAGGCATGTAATAAAAGCTGGGGTTTATTATATATAGGAAATGTGTGCAAGAAATTCAGCAAACATCTTAAGCTCCTGTACAACACGCCTCAAAGCCTTGTTTAACCTCTGAACAGATGTGGAACAGTTTGATGGTCGGCAGCAGCAATTGTGACCTTACTGCTCAGCCCTCAGATAGAAGTAAACAATAAATAACTTTTTAAGTAGGGGAATGATTAAAGGAAGTGAGTATATTTAGCTAACTTTGCATATCAAAGGTTAAAAACACATGTGGAAGTAATTCGGTGCCTGCTCTGTTCCACCAGAGTTCTGGCAAAAAAGCAGAATGGAAAAGTATTTTAAACTAGCTCCATTTATGTGATAGAAAATATTTCTTTATGCTTCGATACAGTCAGACACCCCTCCCTCCCTCTTCTCCTTACATCTGTCGTTCATCTTGGCCACTACAGAAGGAGGGAGGGGGAGAGAGAACGAGAGGAAACAAAAAAGGAAGAGAGGGGGCAAGGGGTTAGTGTTTACAAGACTTACCCACCCCCACATCCTTCTCTACCACCCTTTACTCGTTCTTTCCATCCTCCACTGTACACATATTGACCTCCATTCAGACATGGAATATCTACCACTACTGTCACAAGTTACAGTTTAGCATTTCGAACTGGCTACGAGCTTCACTCAGACATGTCAAGAACTTTTTAAACATCAACATGTGATCTTTAGCATGAATATGCAAGGTTAGATAGTATACTGAAGTTACACATTATCCAAGAGGCCATCGGCTCTGTATAAACTGACAGATTAACTCAAAATCTGTGAAGTATCAGGGTGGCTCTTATTGTCAGTGATAAACCAATCAGCTTTGTTTACAGAGTAGTTTGACATTACTGTTGCAACTTTTCAATGATTATTACTAGACTGTTACCGACTGCTAGGAAAACTTTTTGTAAAAACATCCCAGCTCAGTAGGTCATAATTATCTACTGTAAATAGCTTTCAGTAATAAAGCAATATTTAAAATGTAATGTTTTGAAATTGTAACAGAAATGTACTTAAATCTGTGCAAGAAATCAAATCTTAGAAACAGAGAGACTGTCTGGATTTAATATAAGAAGAAAATGTGCTACAGTCAGAAATTGAATTATTCTAGTTGTTATTTATTTGGACACTTTTTTCCTCATACAGTAAATAATTTTAAAAAGTGATAAATGGCTAAATTTATTATTAAGAACAGGATAAAATTTGGCAAATAATGCAAAAAAGAAAATTGTACACACTGAGGAATTCTGTCTTAAAATATCAGGACACGAGAAAGCCCAGTGACAATATGATTAGTTCTTACACTTTTCAACTCTAAGAGACTTGACAGCAGATAATCCTGGATGTACTGGCTTAAAATTGGTGCAGACGGGATTTTCAATGATGAGACTATAATACAACATGCACAGCACCTCACTCATCGTCTCTACATATTTAGACTCTCTTAATTCACGCTGGAAATTACAGGAGTGAATGTAACAGAATGGCATTTTGGCACAATCACTGTCACATAAAAAAAAAGATGTGAAATTCAAACAGTTAATGCAGCCAGTTCCATAGTAGCTGCAGACGTTTCAAAACTGAATCTTTAATTTACACATCAGCAGGAGGTTTCGTTATTCTTAACAAGGTTAGACGGGACTGTTAACATTTCACCACTGTCATTTTGTCCTTTTCATTTATCAAATATGGTAACAAAGTAATGACACGAAAAGAAAAATGTCAAGATTATGACATGGAAATGTTAGACAACAAATGCTGCAAATGATCATTAGCCACCCTGAAAGCACTATTATTGACTTTTTGCATTGTTTTAATACACAGATTTACCACAGTAATGATGCAAAAACATTTGAAGTTGATATACAGTAAAATAAAAGAATCTTTAAGGATAGTCAATACTGTTTGCCTATTATAAAATTTGCTGGTGTGTAAAATATTGTAGGACACTGTTGGGAGGGAAAAGATGAAAAAAAAAGTATTATCTTACTGTAGGTTAGCAAAAACATCTACTTTTCAAATGATCTAAGAGTCTTTGAGTATGACTGCCCTTAGTATTAGTGACAGTTATTGTGTTTGTTAGTCTTTAATTGTCAAATTAAAATAATTTGGCTACTTTGTCATTCTGAAACAGTTTCCAAGTCATCTTTTTAATAAAAATTACAATTCTGAATGGAAATAAACATGTGGGTTATTTTTTTTATTTCTTAGAGACAAGAGAAACTAGAAAAACAAAATAAATTGATTTAATTCTCACCTTCTCTCTTCATGCCCATGGCCAGGCACTTCTGATAGCGGCAGTACTGGCAGCGGTTCCTCTGTCTCTTGTCCACTATACAGTCTTTATTGTCTCGGCAAGTGTAGGTTAGGTCCTTGCGCACTGTTCTCTTGAAGAAGCCTTTACACCCCTCACAGCTGTAGACACCATAATGCTTACCTAAAACGTTAAAGTAAAAAAAAGTATAAAGTTAATAAAACAATAAGAAGTATCTAAAAACATCTTAACTTTTTTTTCCTTTTAACAGTAGCATTGGAGGTCTTTACCCACCAGAGGATCTATCTCCACAGATGGAACAAAGGCGTTTCTGGGACATCATCGGCCCTGGACTGTGGGCAGACAGATGTTTCAAGCCCAGTGGAGGTTTCACATCATCAGAGCTACTCACGGCATGGAGCCCTGACATGGTGACTGTTGAGTTGATCTGGCACAAGACAGGAAGAATTTTCACATGCATTTCCAATCTATACCTATATTTTAAACAATTCGCCTTTAATCTAATTGCTAAGGCTAGAAAAGAAAAACGACCAGCAAGAACAAGCAGAAAGTAAATCGTTCTGCGTTTCATGTTTATGTTTCTTCATCAATTCAAGTCCAAACTTTGCTCACATTTCACACTGACAGTCTGATAAGAATGAAGAGATAGACATGGATTTAAAACAAATTCAAGTTACCGGTCATTTGTATAGGCCCAGAAACAAAAATGGAGTAAGAACTATATAAAAAGTAAAACTAATACTAAAAATATGGACAAACAAATACTACATAATGCTAATCCACTGAAAAGATGGTTGTCCTTTACAGTTGTACTTAAAATGGACCACAAAGCAAACTACAAATTGTATTACATCCACTAGTTTGTACCTGAGGGCTGCTAATTGGGCCATATCCCACTGACGGGGTGCCAGGTAGGCAGGGTGAGTCCAGTGATGAGCTAATAACAGAAAATGGAGAGCCGATGCTACTGATAGGGCTGTTGACTCCAGCAGTGGTGATGGGTGGCAGGGAGGTCATGGAAGCTGCTGACGGAACCAGTGGGGGTGAGCGTTGGCCCGAGGGAGGAGAAGACACAGACGAACTGTCTGGACTGTGAGAATCTGAGAACAGACAAGCAGAGACATAATAGTGAAATCATACCAGGTCAGCGTATGGTGTGTGAGTCACCCTTAACATAAATGCAACCATAAAATTGTAACAGTTAAAAAAGCTTGTACAGATTTTTCATGCATGCTGAAAAGACATGAAACAGCTTAAAGTCACAAAATAAATTAGGAAATAACAGAATTTTTGGTATGATTTAACAATTTATTTTGGTGAATAATAAGCATGCTGTGATAATTCAAATGTATTTATTTATATAATTAGCTGTTCTATTTGACTGGTATTTAATTGGAGAAAAAAATGTATTGACAAAAATGTAATGCCTATTTTGTAGTTAATAGTGGGTGTAGTTTGAATTTATTGAATTAAGCGACTGAATACATATAAAACAATAGCAATGTGTTTATTACGATCCTTCACTTTCTTCTGCAGCTGGCTGGGCTGTATCGTCTCTGCATCAGGCAGTGTACTTGCATTTCATCTAACCTAGTTCATTTTTGTTTAAATAAATTTTGATGGTGTGCTCTGCCAAAAGCTCTACTGTAACCCAGTGAAAACAATGCTTCATTGGTCAAACCTACAAAAATGGGACAACATGCTTCTTAGATACAAATTTTGTCAATCACCTTCAAAATGCACATAACTTGGTCCAACGGTACACCAAACATGTTTGTCAATATATTCTTGGTATATTAGCAAAAAGTCAATAAACACCAGGAATAAAGTGGCGTCAATAAACTCAATTTCTGTATATAAATATTTGTGACTTGAAAACCTGAATTTTAGTAAAACAATATATGGAACCTGACAAAGAGGTGAGATATTTATTAATCAGTAGAATTGTGAGTAAATAATTTGCAGTGTATTACCTTGCATGCTCCATTTCACTGTCTTACTAACAAACTGTTCAGGCACATGGACGACAGTGTATTTAATTTTAAACACGTTTATGATTTATATTATTGCAACTATACATGTTTATATAATAACTTATAAAGCTTCAGCAGTAAGCAAAACAGTACAAAACAATGTTTTATAGACAACCGTGTTCGTTCCTTACTAATAAAAAAAATCTGCTGCATTTTGCTCACCTCTGCTGTCTCCCATTATGGTGGTTTGTGCACAAGGGCCTAGTTGGCAGCGGCAGGCCGAAGTGCTTTCGTCTTTAGCAGCCCTCTATCAAACTCGAGACCGCGGACTGAGGCCCGGGCCGGAGTTGGTTAGAGAAACCAAATGGGTCTGAAAAATCCAACAAAAGAAAATAAAAGAAAACATCTAAATGAACGTAAGAGTGGCCATTATATCATAAAATGCTAAATACAACCAAAAATCACCCAGCAGTTTTTAAGATCGCGATGCATTTATTTGCTTGTCAGCAGACGTTTGACAGCAAATCTGTTGCCTTGACATCTTGCGCTGCGAATTACAGCAGCCGAACGATCAGCTGTTAACAAGAAAAGTGTTTCCCGGCTATTATAAATTAACTACGACCCTCACCACTGTATTATTCATCTAAAAAACAACGCTTTTATCGCACCAACATAATGGAATGGAAACAAACCACTTCCTTTTAAGCCAGCTAACCAAGCCAAAGTTAGCCGTTAACTAACCAAGCTAACGTTACCGATTACAAGGGTCGTGGACCAAATAATCCTACGTTATTCATTACAAGGCTCGTGAACTAACCAAGCTAAAGTTAGCCACGACAAGGCTAGCGGATTAACCAAGCTAAAGTTAGCCACGACAAGGCTAGCGGACTAACCAAGA